GGCTAGACAACCAGTTTTGGTGTCTGCTCTTTTAAAATTAAACATGCTATCCTTTTTATAACCAGGTTTACCACATAAGAAGTCTTTTGACTAGATATTCCTTGATCATTTCGAACTGCGAATCCAATTTGATGTGCATAAACACAATACAATTCGTACACCTCATTTTCATTATGCACAATGGTGCTAAGCAATTTGTCAACAATTCAATCATTATCCAAAATGTATGGCTCACAAGACTGCACATACAAACATATGATTTATAAATTGCAAGAATCCAAAATGTTATAATATTGAAGTGGAATTAGGGTGGTATTGATGTGGTACTAGGGTGGTATTGAATGTTTTGTGTTAAGATAATATTAGGGTGGTATTGATGTGATTTTGGGGGTTTTGTAGCAAGATACTATTAAGGTGGTACTGGGGTGGTATTGATGTGATATTATATTAGTATTAATGTGGTATTGAGGATATTGTGTCAAGATATTTTTTGGGTGATATTTGGGTGGTATTGATGTGGTATTGGGGTGGTATTGAGAGTTTTGTGCCAAGATACTATCGAAGTGGTATTGAGGTGGTATTAGAAGTTTTGTGCTAAGATAATATTGGGGCGACATTAAGTTGGTATTGATGTGATATTGAGGTGGCATGGAGGGTTTTGTGCCAAGATATTTTTGAGGCGGTATTGGGTGGTATTGGGTCGTATTGAGGTGGCATTGGGATGGTATGTTGATTTATGGGAGAATATACTATTGGGATAATATTGAGGTAATATTGGGGCAGTATTCATGTGGTATTATGTTGTGCACTTCGCATGGTCTTGAGATGGAGAAGATTTAGAGTTTTTAAACACAAATGCACCAACTATCATGTTGTTGGCATTTACTATTTAAAAAAGTGATGGTGTATGCTATTGTTATACTTAAATTATTGTGAGAAAAAAATGAAAGTTTGTAATATCAACATGACATGATTTAAACTACAGAAGAGCAAGAGCAAAAAAACAAAACAATGTAATGATTTCAAAACTCACCTTCATTTTATTCTTGTCATCACTTTGAGAACTCTCCATCTTCAAAATTAATCTGTTGTGGATTTTATTGTAGTCTTCATCTCCTCAATGTGCAACAGCAAGTCTTAAATGAAAACCTAAAACGCCAAAAAGAAATAATGGTGGTTGTGTAACCGAAAAGAGATTGGGCGCAAGTATTTGAACATGATTTATTCCATATATATTTTAGAGGTTGTTTTTCCGTAATATTTTTGGGTTGTGTTTCAGACCAAGTTCATTTACCTCCAAAAGAAACATTTTTTCCCTATAAAAATCATATTATAATGTGGGTCAACCTTATAGACAGCTAGGCGAAACATTACTGGAGTCCAAACGCAAAAGTGCATCCGGACTCCGCACAGAATAATTTCCCCTCAAAAACAAGATAATTGAAGGTCTACACAGGTCTTATAGAGTAGTAGGTCATAAGATACCTCTACAGCATAATGTCCCACAACACGGTCCCCCACAAGCCGACACTACCCGAATATCTCCTAAGTGATATAGATGTCAGAAGCTGCCGAAATTCTTTGTGACTTGAACTTGCAAATACTTTGAAAATGTAAACCATTTAAACTTATTAAAATAATTTAAAAATATTAACCATTTGAAATTATTAAAATAATTAAAAAACTTGATCTATTTGAACTTTAAAAAGACACAAAAATAAAAATAAAGGAAAATATAAAATAAATTATGAGCTAAAGGACAAAATAATCACTTTAATTATCAGTTAAATTGTTTCAAATGAACCAAAATGAAGACAACCAAGGCTTGTATAAAAATTATGGAAATTCTATAAGTTCGTTAATGAGCATGAATTAACCCTTCAATAATTTTAAGAACGGTCAAAATAGTGCAATATAGTTAATCCTGAAGAAACTTAACTTTAAAAGAATCAGTACTTGGTAAATGAATACTATTATGTGATCTACTTGAAATACATAAAGAATAATATGAGCACATACATGTCATTTTTAAATAATCAACAATGACTTAATACATCTTTTCACCACCAAATCTATAATTCCGATTCGCAAGCAGACAGAAAGTGATCTTTTGAAATGTGATTTTGGGCACATTATAAAGATAAAATATACACTAAAATTTTCAATTACAAGACTTTAGCGAGTTTTAGGGTGACACTCAACTCCAAGGTGATGTCTTGAGATTATGTAAATGCTTTAAGATGTGTGCAAATAGTGGTTCAAATGTGTTCAAGCTACACACATGCATGTTAACAAATGAGACATTTATACAGTTAGAAATGTTAATTCTTACACTGAAATTTTAAGGTATTTTCCTAACCCTGATATAATGTCTTAAAATAGTGAAAGTATTTTAAAAAGTATGCAATTGAGTTATATGAGTATGCAGAATGTTCTTTCATATTTCGAAGTGCAAAAAGCACTAGATAATTATACACACGTGTGAAAAAATATAAGCATTTGTATTAAGCAAGTGTATTGAAATGCATGTATATTAGCAAAACAAGTCTACATGGGCTCCGACTATCATGTTAAAAAATTAGAATTGTTTTCCTTGAAAATACTATGCGGACTAATATGAAATTATTTTAAAATATATCGTTCTAAGTGTGTAAATCAAATTGAAAAACACGTATAAAAAAAGATCTTAACTAATTAGAATTAAATGAAAATATGGCACTTAAGAGAACATAATGAAAAAAAATGATTCATTTAGCTGACCCAACTTAATGGGATAAGAACTTATTGTTATTGTTGTTGTATAGATTTCTAAATTGTCCAAATATATGAAATTGAAAGCTTGCATATGCTCCAACTAGTATATAAATGCTCAAATACTATGTTAGAGAATTCTACGCAGGTAAACTTAAAATCATGCTTAAAATACATTCATGTCTCCGGCCAACAAGCTAAGCACATTATCACAAAGTTTGAGAATAGTAGACAGGTTAAGTTTAAACTTACACTCAAATAAATCTCGCTCTAAGAAGCATGCAAAGTTCTTTTGAAAAAATCTATTATTATTTTAAAAAATCACCTGTTTTAAAAATCAAACCAAATATAATCAAACTACACATGTCCTTAATAGAATTTTCTTGAAGAACAGGAGTTAGCGAGTCTAGTAATTTTAATAATGTCCAAATAATAAGAGTATATAATTTGAAAATCTAAATCACCTAGTTTGATCCTCCTTATTAGGACTGAAGTTGACAAAGCTAATATTTTATAGATATTTAGGTGTCAAACTTCCAAATAAATTGCAAACATAAGAGTCTTTAAATGTCCAAAATCCCTAATGAGATCATATTAATTATGAATCTCAACAAGAGGGGTTTGATTTTAAAATTAAATTTCAAATTTTATTTAAATGAACTCAAATGATATAAATTATTAACCCGATCCTCTGTAAGCAAGACAAAGTTGATGAGGTTCAGATTCAATCATGTGTCAATCTCAAACCCAATTCTTTGCAAGCAATATGTAAGTTGACAAGGTTCAAATCAACAACTAAATCCCTGGTAATGGTGAAGTTAATCGAAAATCTTAACCGTATTGGTCAACTTTCAAATTTATTATCAAATCAAATTCTCATAATAAAAAATCAAAACATGCAAGTTAAAATCAATCACCTAAAGGCTTGAAGCAGAAAAATCAAAACATTCATATTAAAATCAACCACTTAAAGGTTTAAAGCAAACTCTATGCATCATCCGCAATAGTTTATCGAGGTTGACATACTTTTGATTGACTCCATCTCACAAAGAGCAAATGTCATATCGAGTATATCACTATATTCATGCTCAAAATAAACTCGCACCACAAAAGATGTGCATCGGGTCCTCTGCTTGTATGGTTTGGCCAACGACTTCACAAAAAATAGTGTTCACGATTAGAGCCCTTTGACCGGGTGATTTACCGCAAAATAATATAATTAAATTGTGGTCAAAGTGACAGCCTGCATGTTCCCAAGCGGTTTTTATTCTTTGAGTCATAAACACTTTTTTAATTAATGTCCACTTAAATTTATCCATTTAGACAACCATTCAACACAGATCTACAATGTTCTCCTGAATAACGCAACTCATGATTACTGATAAGAACATTCGGTAAGGTTTGGTCAACCACCTCCTCTTACTAAGTATATCAGGTATCACAATGAACCAAGATGACAGAATCATGAGATCTTGATCAGGTTCGTCATCATTTCCCCCCTCAAACGCTTTAAGCTCAAGTTGATAAATTAATCAATCTAAAATCATAAATTTGTTGCTACTATGCGTTAAATATTCAATATTTAATAACTAGTATCAATCGAAAGTTTTCTCCCATCATCGAGAGGTTTGCTTAACCATAGAGGCTTGCGCCAATGATAAACCCTGAACCCCATATCAAAACATCCTCACAAAATAAAGGCAAAGTAACAAGTAGTGTCTTATTTACTAGTTCATGTGCCTTCTAGAAATTTGACCCGGAACAAACACAAAACTCTCAAAACATGAGAGTTAAGGATGCGAATTTTCAGAGCCCACAATTAACAGGAAAACTAATTCAAATGGGTTGGTCGACTTAATCATTTAATGAATCAATTTATGATAAATTACCTAAATTTAGTTTCCTAATTATTAATTTATAGCTAATCAGCACAATCCACTCTGATTAGTTTGATTACTCATTTTCTTTAATATTTAAATTACTAATCAACACAACATCAGATAGCCTAAAGTATCTTTAATTAATCTAATTTAATATATAGCTTTTCGCTAAACCATGCAAAGGGTTCATAGCAACATTTTCTTCATAAAATGTGGAGGAAAAAAAAACAATTTTCTAGAATGTCAACGCAAACCAAAGTTTCAAGCTGAACTTTCCCTAACAATAGCTTATCAGCTACTTGACAACCAACATATTTAGATAAATTTACTGATAAGAAGAAAGAAAAATCATTGCACAAGAAAACATACTGGTCATCAGCAGGATTTGCTTGTTCCAGAACTTGCAATGACTCGTCATTTCCGGAAGTATACTACAATCAACCATAACTAAAGTCTAAATTAGCACACAGATAAAATAAAAGATTAATTTCTCGAAAGTTATGCACCTCGAATTCTTCTTTCAGAGCCTTCCCTACCAACTCTTCCTCTGTAAAAACCTTGAGATCATCAATCCTGCAATTTTAAGTAAAAATATTAATATATATCTCTTGGAGAAAAGTTCAAATCAATACTTAAATTCCTAAACATATAAAATCAAATATAATTAATCCATACGAGAGCTCTTCGCTGAAATCATCAGCAAAAACCAGTTCAGCTTCCAGGTCCTACAAACAATGTGAAAAAAAATAATAATAATGTGCTATAGTTTTCCGCAATTCTGAATAAGTTTAGAGTAAGGTGTTCTTAGGTTTGATGAAATGGGTGTAAATTAAAACGAATGCATGGTTTTTAAAAGTTAGATGTTTGGTATGGATGAAAAGGGGATGCAATGTGAAATTTGAAGTATATGAAATTCAGCATTTAGCTCATTTACAATGTATCTGGAATTCGCTTGATTCTGACTAAATTCCAAATACATCGCAAAAGCTTTGCCTATCGACACCGATAGTCGCCTGCTACCATTTGCCCACCCCTAGCTCCACCCATCATCAGCCAAAGGCAGCCGCTCAGATCGATCGCCACCCCCACCCACTACCACCAATGGCTAACCGCCAATTTGTACAACTACCCGCCGCCCACCAGCCCTCGCCACCGCCCGCAACCACCTCAGCTAACTTTGTTATATATTGGTTTTATTTTCCTTCAAACCAAACATAAAAATATAAACACTTACATTTAGTTTACGCCAAATCAAACAACTCTAAAATGTTTCAAATACACTACATTTCAATTGCATTGCAATCCTTTTACAGTGCACCCCTTTTTCGGCAAACCAAATGATGGCCCCTTAAATCATCTAATTTACCTGTAGTTCTTGCAACAAGGAAGCTTTGAAATCAGGGACAGAGGTCATGGGGCCAACATGATTGGAAACAAAAATAGGGCCGCCGCAAGCAGCAGAAAGATATCTCCCATTGTCTTGATAGTAATCGTCTACAATCTCTTCCATAAGAAAATACCAGTGAACCTCCCTTTTTCCTTCAGGCGCCTAGACTTTGTATGATGTGATCTATTAATTTAAGAATTTTAGGCAATATAAGAGCAGTGTAAAGGTGAAATTAAATGATTGCGGGGCAGAAACCAAACAATTAGATTCTGAAGAGTGCCTACAGATTTTGTTCTTAGCTGTATTTATTGAAAAAAGTTGCAAAATGTTAAAAGTATTCCATAATCCCACACAAATTATATCTCCATGTAGCCAAGGAAAAGCAACCAAATAAGCTAACATCTCCTCTACATAACGTTCCTTTTTTTTTTCTTTTTTTTTTTTTTGGTGGGGAGTCATTTACAAAGGTAACACCCTATTCTTATGTATTAACATATCTAAAACCTTTACTTTAAATTTTATATGTATACCGCCAAAATCCTTCATATAACATTAAAAATACCACTATTTTAACTTTTAGAAAGTGATATACATCTTTTAATGAATGGGTAAAGTGGAATATATAAGTAAAAGTTAAAGTTTGAGTGTTAGATATGTAAATACATACGAATTGAGTGGTATGCATGTAAATATTACTTTTTTTTTCACCCCTTCAAGAGAACACTCTGCCTAGACGGCTCAGTTTTGGATTCACGAAACCAGATAGGGTTGTAAACGACCCGAGCTTGAGCAAGCTCAAGTTTGGCTCATGTTCAACTAGTTCAAAATCCAATACATTTGAAATCGACTCATGTTCGAAATTCTTCCATTGTGTTCGTGTTCAGCTCAATTTACATATTCTTATTCGTGTTCGTCTCGTGTTTGGCTCAAAATTTAACAATCAAAAATATTTTTTTTTTATTTTTTTTAAACACTTCCAATAAAAGAGAAAATACACAATAATGTCTGCTTTCAGTCATAGCCACATGTAACAGAAACCTTTCAAACCTTAGAGCCTTGTTTTTGCATTTAAACAACATCGTTAAAACGTTTTATTCTCGGTGTGAGGCTAAAAGCAGGGCAAGCCTTGAGTGTGACTTCCCCTAAAAGTAATTGGGCACAAAATTAAAGATCATAATGGCACCGGCCACCTCAAATAAATATTTATTATTTCTCTCAGTGATCCCATTATATTGAGAAATATCTACACAAGACCTATATAAATAATATCATGCCCCAAAAGATAAGAACTAAGAAAGGAATTAAAATATTTTTTAGCATTATATGTTTTAAAAACTTGAATTTTGCTTCGGAAGTAAGGATCGTGAAATAATATGATTGAATATGGTGACAATTTCAGATTTTTCTATCATAAGGTGTGTCCAAATAGTTCTTATATGATCATCTATGAATAATATCAATCTTTGTGCCTCATTTATATTTTTTACTTGGGAGGGTCCCCATATAGCACTATGAATTATAGCAAAAGAATGTGAGGGATTACCATGTAGTTTAGAATATACGTGTCTAGTATGCTTTGCGAATTGACATGTTTCACATTAATAGAAATCTGACTTGTTATTGATAAAAAAATTTGAAGATATTTTTTCAATATATGCAAAATTTAGATGACCTATGGAACAACCTTAAGATGCTTGGCTTTCAACTAAATCAGACTTACTGTTCAAAATTAAATTGACTTAATTTGAACTAGACTCAAAATTGCAACTTAACGGACAAACTTGTCTAATGATGAGTTTTTTTTTTTTTTTTTTTTTTTAGAAATATAGACCACCAAATATCTCAACACTATGAGTTCGGCATTGGAAGAGAGGTGTTTAGGTCGTTTGTGAGTCGGAGACTCATGAGAGGGCGGTTGGGGCAAGTTGAATCATTCACTTCATTAGCGAACAAAAGAGGAGAATAGTTATGTGATCTGCTCGAACTATTGAATAGAGTGATCCTCTGTGATATGCTTGAATGTTCAAACATTGCAATCTGGTCAAACGAAATAGACAAATGACAAAGCAGCAGCTCATGCATACAAGGCAATCTGTTTGAATGGAAGAGATGGGGCGACAAAGAAGTTGTTCATGTGTACGAGAGAAGGCGGAGCAATGGCTGTGGAATAGATTACGGCATCTCGAGCAAAAGCTAACGATAGAAGTTTCTCAAGGCTCTGATACCATGTGCAAATTATGAGAGAGATTTATATTACTCTCTAAATAATGAATTACATCCCGACATAGGTAATAAAGTGGCCGACATACCATTCCACAAATTAGAAAACTGGTATTCCTTTCAATTAGGAATCTCACAAAATTAGAAAACTAGAAAAATATAAAAATATCTAATAAAAGAAACAAACAAATATAAAATGATATTTTACATAAAATGAAATAAAATTCTTCCTAATAAAGCACACAGGTTAATTAATTCCAACATAAAGCCAATGGGCATACTGAAGTTTTTACTAAAATTATAATCCAACTAATTATAAAGTTATTATCTACAAACAAATTACAATAACATTATAATTACCAGATCGGCGTTGGACACATGGCTAAAGATTGTACACTAACAAAGTCGATTCCATATGCATGACATCAAGGCGGAGGCCATCCTTTGAAAGTTCAAATCACCCCACTACGTGTTGCTCTCAATCCCAAAATAAATAACATAAAACTAACAGTGGTTATATTGCCAATACTTATTGAATAATTAAATAAATGTTACGACTTACCACAAATTGAACGTATGTGTAGTTCATGGATAGTTAAAAAATAAATATTCTGCAAAACAATAATTATGTAAAAGTATAATTGCATTCTTGATTTAGAAAAAGCTTACGATAAGGTTCCAAGAGATATCCTTTGGAGAGTTCTCGAGAAGAAATGTGTTGATATGACTTATATTCAAGTCATTAAAGATATGTATAGTAAAGCTGTTACTTGTGTTCAAACTGAAGGAGTATTCACAAAATATTTTCCTATTTCTGTTGGTTTATATCAGGGATCGACTTTAAGCCCATATCTTTTTGCTTTAGTTATGGATGGTCTTACTGAACATCTACAGGAGGAAGTACCTTGGTGTATGTTTTTTTGCTGATGATATTCTTCTCGTGGATAAAACGAGAGAAAAAGCCCAGGAAAAACTTGAATTATGGAGGTCTACATTGGAGTCTAAAGGCCTTCGTTTAAGTAGAACTAAAACTGAATACATGGAATGCAATTTTAGTAGTAATAGCTCTAGTGACAGAAGTGTGACTTTGGGTGATCAAATTATTAAAAGGTGTGAACGATTAGATATCTTGGGTCCGTTGTCCAAAGCGATGGTGATATAGATGGGGATGTTAACAGTAGAATTCAAGTTGGTTGGTTGAAGTGGAGGAATGCTTC